AAGATTTTATATCGTTCGTATTTAGTGAACGTGGTTTTCTTGAAAGCGGTAATATCTTTGAAAGCCTAACTTATAGAGTACTGCCTGATCTTAAATTACGTATATCTGATATCTATTATTGAATCTTGTTACCGAAATCAATAACTTACCACAATGCGGGCTTATGAAAAAATCAAAAAGTAATTCCGGCCGGAAATTAGTAAACAATATTGTAATGCGGGCCAAAAATTTTGCCGTTAGCCAATCAAAATCGAGAATTCTACCGTGTTGCGACATCTCAAATTACTGTCATATATATTTATTTTACCGCTTGCTTTCTGGATTTATTGCGGTGAAAACTGCGGGTTTTATTGGATATTTAGGACTTTTACTGGATATTATTGGTGCATTAGTTTGATGCAAATAAATAAATATACCGATACACTAGCATTCTGTCCGTGCCTCCGGTACGGTAATTTTTTTCGTTATTGCAAAAAATTCCATTATGGAACTTGCTATTCTGGCTATGTTTTTAAGTTAGTTTGCATCGGAATTATCGTGACTCCTATCATGAGCTATAGTAAAACTTGCTATTCCAGTGACAATAGTTTGTAGTTAAGGTTGAATTTGTATTGGAATTATCGTAATTTTTTATTCTGAGTTGCTGTAAGAAATTCTGTTAGAAAACTCACTCATCATTCCGGTAATCAAATATGTGGTTGGTTAAATTTGTATTGGAATTATCGTAGCTTCTATCAGGAATTTCTATAAAATATCCTATCTGTTACAGGATTTGCTATTCTAGTCAGACATAATATGTAGTTAAGGCCAAGTTAAGGCCAAGTTAGTTTGTATCAGAATTATCATGACTTCTATTATAAGTATTATATACTGTATTTCTGTTTTACAAATTAAAATAAGGCACAGACGGTTGATGAAGCTAAAAGAGATTCTACAAACACATGATAAGCAACCATCAAGGCCGACTCTGTTCACAAAAAATTTAGATTATTGATGCTTTTTAGTACTTCAACCTTAAAATTAGATATCTTGAATTTGGGGATATCAAAATCGATATGAGTTCAGATCACTGCATTCAAAGAAGAGCATGTTGATATTACAATGGAGCAACAATTGAAACTTTGTTCAAAATCGGTACCCTTGAGAGGTACCGCGTAGACAAAGGAAATCCATGTAATTATGTACTCGTGCATCCTAACGTAACTCAATTTTATAGTACATTTAGATAGAGGTTGGATCCTTTGAATATCCATCATGGCTATTCAGTAAATATTCGCGGGTTTTGATGTTTACGAATAGTATTGAATGAATATCTGAATTATGAATAGATACCCATCTATTATTGTAACCATAACAAATATTCACGCAAATATTCATGAATTTTGTGTAACCGAATATTGAATATTCAATGAATATCCATTTTTAACTGTGAATATCGATATTCATGGATCCAACCTCTACATTGGAATATAGTAAATCATATGTCCCATACCTGATTTTCGGCAAAGACCCCATATATCAAAAGAACATGATCCACATATCAGGTGATTCGAGTGTATACCGGTATGTGCATATGGATCTAGCAAAATTATTATAAAAATCCGGATATCCGTTACACTTATGATACACAAAAAATATAAACACTATATATATACTGTATATGCGCATCTTATTCTCTCGTCATTTCTATAGGTGTAGACTTCTATGGTGAAGTTATAACGTCATTTTGACGTAACTCAATGACGTTATGACACGTCAAAAACCGTAACTGACGTATGCCGTAATATTTGGCCTGTGTCGTAACATTTACTTTTGTTGTAATGTTGTAATATCTGACTACTTATCCCGACCTATCTTGCTACATTTAAACTATGATCCATAGCTTTATGAATAAATAAATTGATATCATGTAAAGATATATTCCATAAAATTAAATGCTTATTATAAATGTGATAATTCAATAATTTTTATTCTCATGAATTAAAAAGAATTAAAATGCCTTTATACAATAAACTTCGAATTTAAATTAGATTATATGGACTTCAATTAATAAATGACTTTTCTATTTATTCACTAAATTTACATAAATAAAATGAATTTAGACGGTACACCATGTGGAGAAAATGTAAATAATATGAGTGCTGCCAAGGGAAAAGGGAACATTCGTTTTTATTGATGATCGACAACACATCGGGCTTTCAATTATGATAAACTAACCTCTGAAATTGTCTTAGCGTTAGTGAAAGCCCGATATGTTGTCGATCATCAGATAAATAATCAATAAAAACGAATGTTCCCTTTCCCTTGGCGTCACTCATATATATAGACAAGTACAAATATAAATTCAGAGTTATATGTACACAGAACAAAACCTGTAAGTTCTTTCCAACCGTTAACATCAGAATTTCTGTAACAAAGCTCCAAATACGGTAAGATAGCGAATAGAATTTCAGATTTCAATAATATACAAAGGTTTCAAAACAAAAAAAGACCATTTTTATTGTCATAATCTTTTATATTTTCGTAGAGCCGTAACTTTTGTATTAGTAATAATATCCTGATCAGAGCCAGTGGATTTTAGTAGCATCTAAAATAGCGCTATTTTTTGGCAAAATGGCTAGCAACATTGTTTGTGCTAAGATGCGAAATTTGCTACTTTTGTACTAAGCATGTGACTATTACTTTTGTTCTTAAACTAATTTATATAAACGAGTAACTATATGCATGTTGTAAATGATGACTAGAGAATGATAGATTAAGAACCCATCGAAGAACATGCGACTACATTAAAATTTATAATTGACTAACATAAATTTTGTAATAAGCTATTTTGCTAAATTTGCAAAATTTACTAGCTAATTTTGCTAGCTAGTTTTGCTTCTAACGACCACTGGCTCTGATCCTGATCCATTGGGGATTAGCGGAACCGATTATTCACATATGTATCAGGATATTATTCATTAATCCCCCGATCACTATGCCAAGATCACGGGGGATTATTGACATAATTTTTTGCATCGCACCGTAACTTTTTATATTAATATAACTACGTACTAATCTAAGGTTACGGCAAATGTTAGTTATTATGATCTACGTCGTTATGACACTTTTGACGTGACGACACGTCAATTGGACGTAGCCATACGTTGTATCTATAGTCATCTAAATGGAGATTTTGAAAAAAGGATTTCCTGAGGGTTAACACTTACCGTACTAAACCTTTACGGGTTGTTATAAAGGGGGTTTTTTCATATATTATGCCCGAAAAAATATATGACCGGGTTGATAAATTACCCAAACTATTCGGTAAATTTTTACCTTCAGTTATTAAGAATAGTTCGTGTAACACAAATCATGTGATTTGGTGGCAACATAATTTGCAAATAGATCCATATAAAGGTAATTCTGTAATTTACCACTTTTGATAAAATTATCTGATAACCGAAATTTACCAATAGCAATTTACCACCTACTGTAACAACCCTGCACATATATGACATATATACACATTGCATCGCTCTTGTCGGAACACTAACCTAGCACTAGTGTTTAAAAAAAAATTTAATTTATATAGAATCGGGACAGTTCCCGAATGAAAATTCGACCAAAAAATTATACTAAAATTAAAATTTTTTCTAAACCTTAACCACTCCCTAACCCCTCAAATCCAAAACAATTACAAACTCCCACTCGGGGCAGCCCGATTCCAATCTGGGGTACGACATATACATAAATATCTTAATTGTAAATGCAATCAGATTTCCTTAAATGCACACTTTCAGGATTATACGTAGCAAAAATTATACAGGGCTTCTGTAAAGGAATTATAGAGTGTACATTTCTAGAACGTGCATTTCTAAAATTTGCATTTCTAGAACGAATATCAGTAGATCATTTCATACTTTTACGGAGATCTGACTTAATAATTATCATTATACCATATATGCGTTGTATGCAGCAAAAAGCACTAAAAATAACTGATTGTAATTACGTATAATACTGTAATATATCACTATAATAAACTATATTTATACATATGTATATAATATATATATATACAGTATATATATATATTATTAATTAAATTAAACAATAATATACTTTTAATAAAAAAAATTAGCACAGTATGTAGAATTGATTAAAGATTAAAAAATCGTACGTAGAACAAAAATTTATTCTGTTTTTGTGTTGGTATTCAAAATATTTGAAAGATAAGTTCGTTTAGCAATCTTTAGCATATGCTACTGTGCCGCACAAAATTTAAAGAATTGACGTTTATTGATCTTTAGTTGATACTACAGTATTATGATGCCACACAAATTTGAATAATCCAATAACTGGGCAGACCGAGAAAAACCGAAAGATTAAAAGATCATCTCTATTTTGTTGCTGCTCACATAGCATGGTTGAAATATAATTTGTCAAGCTTTTAATATTAATTAGTTTTTAGTACCTCACATTTAATATTTATGACCAGTCATAAGATCTTCTATGTTTAACAATTTTGATTGTTACATATTCTTAAATTACGTATGCCTGATACCGGTATTAAAATGTAATATGCCACTCCGTAGTATGACTAATCTTAACCGAGATTTTATTTTAATTGTGCAATATTCTATTGTCACATGATCTATTGTAGCTCCGTTTTGTTAAACATGATGCCATAAACGTAACATGTTAAATTTAATTGGTAAAAAAAATACATAGCCTGATTTATTCAACACCATTCATTTAATCAAATATATGGTAATTCTTTGTCTTATTCTTTACGTTTTTTGTTAGACAAGCAGGAACGTGACTCATTTACATTTACTGTACCAATAAAAAAATTTCATATATGTACATGTAAAAACAAAGCTGTCCTCCTGCTTAAATATCCCTCATAAATTCAGTTTTTTTTACTCACCATCTTTTTTCTCTCGTTCGCATTTTGAAATAGAACCCAGCTTCCTCATATCATTTTTAATCTTCAATTCTCCTATTACTCATATATCGATATGTTGTCTTCAACAAGCACTGACAACCCAAGCTCTGGCTTTGGTCCAAGCTTTTCACAAAGCGATATCGACTGTGTGGACAGTTTCCTATTACCAAGTTCTCTACCCGATAACAAAACTCCCGAAGTTTATTGTTCACCTCCTATATTTGAACTGGACATTCCAGTTCCATCCTTCGCTTTGAGACGTCGAAATGCAATAGTGGAAGCTGTATTGGAGACTCCTTTAGTTTTTTAAAAAAAAAATTGAAATCATATTATTCATAGGTATTTTCTTTTTCTTTTTTGCTTTGATTTTCGCTTCGAGTTTTATTTTCTTTTTTACTGATTATTTGTCTTATAACAGATTGTTGTAAACACTAAGAAGAGCACGATATTGCTTCTGGATGATTAATGTGAAACATTCGTTCGAAAATCATACAAAAAAAAACCCAAAAAAAATTTTTATCAGTTTTGTGCTATTAAATTTCATGTCGAATATTTCTTAGCATTCTTATTTCTTATATATTTATATACATATATATATTTTTTTTAGAATTTAAAAAATTTTTTATTTCCATTTTCATTGTAATCATATTCAAATTTTAACATTTTATACACCTGTTATATATATATATATTTTTTCCTACAATATTGATCACATTATAGAAGTACATTGCTCTATTCGTGATTTGCGCGAATTTAGTGTTTATCCTCCTCATTCATTCCCTTGAAACTGTTATATCTCTGACATATATTTATATACATTATTACAATATTTTATAGCAATCCTTTACACTTTTTGATCATTTCTCTTTTCGAAGATATATAGTCGAATTTAAATTTAAAGGCTTGGTTTTATGATCATAGTTCAACCAAACAAATGTGATTTGTTTTGCGGCCGGCCGTTTTTGTTATTTTACTTTTGACGCTTGGTTGACTTTTTTAAAAACTAAGCATTTTAAATAATTGAATAAAATTAAAAAAAAAAAGATAAATCATTGAATGGGTTGGTCTTTTCACCCGTTCTACTGGTATTAACCCATTAAATGTGTACATTACTTGTTCATATCTGTTTAAACTAAATGAATATTTGAGTTTTAAAAATCATATATTTTCTGTAATGTGAATTGCTCTTCAAGACAATTTAATCATATTATTCTTAGAACATGAAAAATTAAAAAAAAACGTTCTCTTTGCCCGGAGCGTAGCGGAGGACTTCAATGGTAAGTAGTACCAAAAATGTCATGTGTATATTATATTAAATAATGATAAGGTTTAACGGCTGTGACAGGTATTACCATAAAAGTGCATATACAAGATCCTCAAGATATAGGAATGTTAAGTGGTTCGAAAAAACCAGATCCCGGAACCGCATTTATTTGGTCAATCCTGTCCTAATTCGAAACTCCAGACCTAAATGAAGTTCAAGACCAAAATCTCGAACAGTTATTGTTTCCTCAATTTGAAAAACTGATTTTTTTTTTGTTCTATATTAAGACTATTGTGCTCTTAAAAACCAGGTGTGTTTGTATTACAGTATATCAATATAATATTAATATATACAGTACAGTACTGTACTGTACGTTCATATGCACATGCGTATGTACAGGGCCAATGAAAATGAAGTTTGAGAATTGAGTATCTCAAATCCGACTTTCACATGATATTTTTGAACCCGTTTTTGAACTACTTCTGAGCCCAATGGAGCCGCCAATGTGATCAATATTGTA